CAGTAACTCTGGCTGGTTCATCTTGTTATTTCTTGATGCAATAGTACTTAGTCATCAGTTCTCATCCAAAGAGTTCTTTCTGATAAGAATACATTTATTTCATTCAATAAGATGATATTCTGCTTTCAAATCTAAACTTTTAGTAATTTTTATCACCTTTTACTCAACTTTAAACAATGTCTTCAATTTCTAAAGGAACTTCATATTGCATCAGATTATCAGAGTCTAGATTCAGTCCCAAAGTTCATGTCTAGGCAAATTTCTCCATACCCACTAAATAGATTCTATAGATTTTCAATATAGATTTATAGATTTCATGAATATGCTTTCACAAAGAATAACCCTTGGTGGAAATCAATTAAATTTTTTTTTGCCCTGGTAAAACAAGTTTCCTAATAGTTCAGAAATAACTAATTTTGATACCTTGCTATAATTTAAGAGTATGCATACACACACACACACACAAATAATACCTTCACAGACTGTGGGTTTTTTTCCCCAACATACTATACAATACTGTACACCACAACATAAGTTAAAAATTTGTAAAAGTATTTTTTTCTCTTTGCTGATTTTTAAATGAAAATATCTGAATATCCCTCTCTGTTGAAGTGAATTAATTCAAGCAGCAGCCTGTCTTGCAGTGGGGCAGCTGCATTGCTTGATGTTTATGACATCTTGTATATGGAAAGTCCTGGTTTGGAAACATATTGTTTGTGTTGGCACCCAAGAACAAGCCTAAGTGCAGGCTTCAGTTTTCCTCCATATTAATGATTTGAAGATGCCTCCTTTCCACATGCCATTATTTAGCTAGAGATGCCATTCAGAATTGGTTTTTGATAAATTCAGCCTGGTGCCTCTGTGACTACTGCATAGGTACAGTAGTTTTAAATATTTATGTTGTGCTGGTGGTGATAATTATTATTCCAACTCAGTATAGCTTTAATACATTTAAACATCAGTGTTTCTCAGTTTAATTCATCATACATACATTCAGATGCTTGTATACATATATTCAGTATGCAACTCCAAGCACCTAAAAAGACCTATTCATATTTTAGCAGCTGTGAGAAAGTGAGGACATATTTCCTTTACATTCCTAACTGTAAGCATTAATGAGGTGCTTCACATACATTAATGATTAAAAATACTCTTTATAAAACAATCCATCATAATTCTTTTATCACAATGCCAATCCAAAGAACTATGTCATTGTACCACAGTATCTCTAATGCCAAAGTTTAAAACTGTGTGATAAAATAAAATCCATTTATTTACTCAGTCTTTTTCCATGGGAAAAATGTCAGTTTACTGTGATAGCTAGTATGCTTATGAATACAAGAATGTCATCCTTTATTATCTGTTTGTATGCATTTGTTAGAAAGCCCCTATGCAGTTGCTGGTAAACTCAGATGCCTTCTTATGCTTAACCATCACAGCAAAACAAAATGTCTAAAACAAGGACTTGAACATTTTCTACAATTTATTAAGAACATTCTATCAGAAAAAGAAAAGAAAAGTAGAAAAGAAAAAAAAAGAAAAAAGAAAAGAAAATATTAATAAAAAAAATGCAGCTCCTTTTTGGAAACATGACTGGAATGCATTTAACCTTGGCTTTCTGAGTGGTACTATTTGCAATTGTTTCCTTAAGCAAACCAGAGAAGAAAGAAAGAACTTTGAGTTCCCAGGAGGCCTGACAAATTATTTCCAAGGTCAGATATATGCACAAAAGAAACAACTTCTCACTCTGTGTTCTGTTACAGTATCTCTCCTTATGCTACCTGTGACACTGCCTTTGTTTGGTCCTCTTGAAGGGTTATGAACATAGAATGGGTCCAGTGTTGTCCAAAACACTAGACTGAAGCTGCCACTTGTCAGTACACAGCTAACAGTTCAGAGAATCCATGTATTGATTTTCTTGGTGTGACTCCACCCCAGCTGTTTTCTCAGACTAATGCTACATCTCCAGAATGTGTAATAGTAATTGACGAGAACAGAGTGTCAGGACTAATTAATGTACTCTCATTATTGGAGAGAGCACTGATTTTCAAAGAATGTCCTAGCTGTTATTTATGGCTTTTAATTAAGGTACAATCTTATCTAAATAATCAGTATGTTGTAAAATAGAAGAGTCAAACTACATAGCTGCAATAAGCCAAACATTACATGCACAACCACATTTGCACAGAACACTTAGACATTTTGCAAGTCATGAGAAATTTGGGAAATTAGCAGGGTTTTATAGCTTTTACAAGGCATGTGAAAGCATTCTATGCCTTCTAAATGGATTTACTCTAACTGCCTAATTCATTATGCTAAAACCATGAAGCAATTTCCTATTCAAAGCCAACTCACAGGCTCTCTGTTGTCAAGTATTTGAATTTCAGATTAGAAATGTGTTCATTTGGATAGTGTGAAAGGAAAGCTTTGTTGTCAGCTTTGCTTTATGTTCTGCCAGCAGCCAAACCTCTCTTCTTCAGCAGTCACCAGCAAAATACCAGACCTTCACTCTGGTCTCCACTATCTTGAAACAAACACAAATGTTTTTGGCCTTTATGGCCTAAACATTGGTTTGAGGTTTGCGGTTCTTCCCCTCTCTTAATATTTTTCTGGAGATTATTTATGACAGATGATATCAGCAAATGTTTAGATTGCAGTGCGGTTTTCTCATCCCTACAAAAGAGATGGGGATCGGGGGGAGAGCGTTTCTACAGTGGGGACATTTGGTTCTCTGAGAAACTCTGTAGTTTGTTACGGAACAACGAGCTGTTGCGGCTGCAGCCCTTTTACCCTCAGCGTGTTTGCAGCTATGATCCACACTGAATTTTAACTACGCTGCTGCTTGCTTGTTAGCAGCTATTTCTTTGCTGGCTTGAAAACTATACAGGCAGCTGTCAAAAGTCAGGGGCTGCATTTCACACAGAGTGTAACAAAGTTATCTAATACAGCCTGTAGGACAAAATCTCCCAGGCATCCATATCTTTAGCTAGTAGTGTGGAAATCAAGGAATTCCAGCCACATTTCTCACACGAAAGAGCTTTTCAGAGCTCTTCCATTACTGTAAGCTGTTTCTGACAGGTTTAGGATCTACACTGTGGAAGGACAAGCCTAGCACATCCTTCTATTAATTAAAAGCAAACATTCGCACAGGGAATGTTGTAACCTAAACATGAACTTTAATGGTTGTAACATAGCTGGAAGCAAAAATAATTACTAGCAGCTATAAAAGACATTGAAATATTTGTAAGCCCTTTGCTTCTGAATACAATAACCCCTATGTAGTCATAATAAGCTCTTCAGTATAGGAAATAGTAATAGAAGATCTCTCACCTGATACTGAGGCTGTGCAAATAATTGATTTCTTAGTCTAACAGAAGAAGTGAAAAAAAAAAAAAAAAGTGGGGGGAGGCAGGGGGAGAGGAAAGACTCAATCCAGCCTTAATTTAAATGTTATTTCCTTTTCTTTTTTTTTTTTTCTTTTTTTTTTTTTTTTTTTTTTTACCTGTGTTAATGAAAGAAAGCAGAACCATAAAGCATTTCATCCAGTTTAGACAGTCCTGCAGGACTCTGAGGGAATCATCTTCGGGAGCAAAAGGATGCGTGACCCAAAGGACTGGTAGTGGCTCCTCACCTCTCACCTGGTTTGTGGGATGTCCTGGGGTATGCCTGCACTGCACTCCCAGCAACAGGTCAGAGGATGATGCTACCTCCAGCCACATCACACTGTGCTGAAGCACATGGGTCCCTTGAGTACCAAACACACATCTTATCTTTTCTCCCTAACTTTTTAGGTAAAACTCAGCCTGGCAAACCAAGCTATGGGTGCCCCAGGTCCTCATCTTCTCCACCAGGAAGATGACTGGGTCAAAACTTTCCTTCTTGTATAAAGAACTAATCCAACAGCTAAAGATGAGGGCTCTAATTAGCCGCTTAGAATCACCTGACTCTCTAGTTTTTATACAAGAGTGGCACAGACCCAAAAAGCCCAAATGCACTGAGGCTGCTGGGGAGTTCATCTGAGTTCATTGAAAGTGGGAGGTCTCTGTTGAAATCCCTGTCCAAAACTGGGCACAAAGCTGGTTTCTGTTTCAACTTCTGGCTCCCGGGAGAGTGAGCATCATCTGTTTCACCCAGCTCTAAATGACACATTGTTCCAACATGTGTTTCCAAGTATTAAAAGTGAAGACAAATGAAGTCGTACAGCTATGTTCATTGATAAGGATCCTGGCACCGTTTCATGGTTAGCAGAAATGAGCTTAGATGCCTACAGAGTTTAAATTCTCTTGGTCTCCAATTGTGTATGTTTTACAATATTTAAATGCAAATAACATTCAGGTCAGGTTTCTGACTGGTTGCTAAATACCCTCTAGTGCTCTCATGGAATTTGTTTCCTTAATGTTGGATTATAAGAGAATTACAAAGCATTAGTATACATTATATAAAAATTAAATGTGAATGGTAAGAATTTAGGCCCGATCCATTTTAACTTAACAATGACAGAAAACTATTACACTGCAAACAACATGCTAAAGCTATTAACAATGCTCATATTTATTTTTTACCCTGAAGCACAACAATTTTACTCTATGAAAAAGCTTTTTTCACTGTTTTTCTACAGTGCTATAGGTAAAACCAAGCTCATAATTCCTAATGATTTTATCAAACTCTATTATTAGGTACATTCCGCAGCTGTCAGAGTAGTGTGCTTGCCATCAGATACGACCCTTGTGGAAGAATACATGTTATGGTTTAGAGGACCAAATACTGAATTTTTTCAGGACTTACTTAGAAGAGAGAGGCAGAATTCAAGTTGTCATTACTTTGCTATGTAATGTAAACCAACAAGATTGCAAAATATTCCATTCCCAGAGAAAAAGAGAAAGGGATTCCCACCATTAGAATATATGAAACTTTTTTCTCACTACTTTGTCATCCATATTGAACAAAGGAGTAACAGCAGGCACAGAGAACTCTTTCTCCTTAAAATCCAGAGGCACAAAAACATTTAAATGGCTTTATTTTCACATGGTAGCCCAGAGAAACTTTAGTTTTAAGCAGTCTAGTTAGATATCTAATTAAAAGACACAGAATACAGGATCCAAAGCAATCAAACTAAAAACATTCTTCTCCCTCTTCAGAAGGCAAAAAGGAAAGAAGTGACTAGGCTGCAAGTACAGTATCTCAGTCTAGGCAAAGCACCATCCCTAGCCAATTGTTAGGAGATGCTTCTAATGGGAAGGTGATATGAGATGATGTTGGAAGGCAGCTGTGGAGAAGTGAATTTCATGTACTTCCTCTCCTGGTGGAACCTTAAAACCAGAAAATTTTGTCTTGCACTGCACTACACATAGTATTGCCAGCAGGTCTAGGGAAGTGATGGTTCCCTCTGAGCATCAAGAACACCGGCTCGAACCACACATTGGCAGAAGTTGCCCAGGGAGGTGATAAAGTCTCCAATTCAAAATCTATCTGGACAAAGTCTTAGGAGAACAGCTCTAGGTGACCTACATGAACTAGGGGGCTTGACCAGATGTTCCCTTCCAAACTAAACTGTTCTCTAATGGTGTGTTGTCTGTGCTATTCTTTGATACATTCTCCACACAGGATCACTATTTAGGACCTGAGGGATTGTCTGGCATGCTGCTAGAATGTGTTAAGTGACAAATAAGAGGTATGCATATAGATATACATACTTCCTTATTTGTATATGTATACATACATACACAAAAACTTGTCTGCAACATAAATTAGTGAAGAAAATTTTTAAGCATTCAATGCCAGTGTCTCAGCAGAGGAAATTTCTATTTTCATCACCATTCTTTTCATACAAGCACTAGAGTCCCACTGCTCCAGATTTTTAATCTTTAAGAAGATTTAAGAAATCCCCAGCAAATTCTGCCCCATGGAGAGCTCTCTCAGCACCTCATGGAGTTAAGGAGTTAAATTCAGGTAGTACAGAGAGAGCAGTGAGAAGTTTTAAGAAAATCCTGAAGTAAGGGTGATGCCTATTAAATTCAAAGAATGAACTTCAGTTTTCTTCAGCTTAATTGTCTGGTCAAGAACCCATTACACTCTCTAGTACTGTCTTTAAAGTGCATTTACAAATTGCATCAGCAATTTAATTAATGAATGAAAGACTGCATGAAAATGCTTTCTGATACAAAGTAATGATTTTAGCCTGACAGTGAACATAAACATTCATGTCTTCATAACTTAAAAGATGAGCAGGCTCTACTTTAAAAGGAAGGCAACCTTTTCAATATTATGCAGGGAATTTGTTTTTGTACTCCAATATTGCTCTGTTCCAAATAAAATGAGACATAAACATTTCTTTGTGTGATCTGTGTTGATATCCTGTGCTATAAACTCCTTCCTTACGGAGTCCCTGATCCTTATCTTCCCCCCTCCCTTCTATAAATCACATGAACTTTTCTGATTAGTGCCTTCCCCATCTCAGCACAGTCTTCCTGGAAGATCAAAACCAGACTAGTACCATGCTCTCAGGATGAGAGGCACCGTGTTTTTCAAAGAAGTCTGTTCCCACGCAAAAGGACAATTTAATCACTCTACAGAAAATTGCCTCCAGGTGCAAAAAAGCAGAGAATGGATTTGAGGGTCTCATTTTACCAAAATCAGAGGCAAGGAATTACAGTATAGCCTACACTAGCTTTAGAAACAAAATGTGGTACAATAGCACAATTTGGCTATCCCACCAGGCATTGGATATTGTATTTCACTGAGATGTAACAATGGAGAAGTTATTTCAACACCTGCAAAATTCAAGTCCTGACATTTGGCTCACGTACCTTATGTGTCCACTGTTTTGTCTAGAAATGCCTTCTCCCATATAGCTTACAGAAGAGCACTGCATGTCACAGTAGTTTTGCTGTTAAAAATAAGCAAGCCACATTACAGTAGTTCCAGATGACACAATACATAAAGAGGCAAGTAAATAAATATCACTGTGCCCGACCGTTCTCTTTCCTAGTAAATGGAATGAAGAAAAAAAAAGTGCTGCCTGGCTAGAGAACTATTCAGAACAACCTGTCAACACAAGAGTAAAAGCTGAATGGCTCAGGTACAGAACATATGAAAGAGTCATGGGAGGAAGATTTAAAAATATTTCTGTGAGTATACACACACAATAATACATTTAGAAATGTTAGATTTTTTTTTAATCTTGCTCACATATCAAAGAATACAAGAAGTACCACAGAAAGAGGATCAATGCAACACTGATCTTTTTAAAGCAGACTGGCAAAGTAACATATTGTGCCGTAGGATGGGCTTTTTAACAGAAATGCACAGCTTGCATAAGCAGAAATTACTCTACATGCTGTATTTTTGAGAAAGCATATTAACATACCAAAGAACATATTTATGCAGCACTGAGTTGCCTCAAACCAGTGAAACATAGTTTCACTGATTTCCTAATGAGATTTTCACCAGTGTTCAAAGAGAGCCAGCTGTGGCTTCAGGTGTGAACTCAGACACTTTCAAAACCCCACAGATTTACAAAGCCTTTGGAGAAACAGCTAAGTTCTGAAAACAAGTACAGCAGACTTGCTCTTCCAGTTCTCAAAAAACCCCACCAAAGCCAACAGGTAGCTTGTATTAAGTCAGGTAACCTCAACTTTGTGCTTGACTGTTTCTCTGGCAATATAAATGTTTCCTGGGAAGCATAAGGTAAAACAAACCTTGAGCAGAGATACCAGCACAGTAACACAGACCGATGGGTAGAGACACTAATGTTTCCTGGTGGAGTGTAAACAAATTAGAGGGCGCTTGGTCAATTGTTTAGAAGAATTTGGATAAGGAGAAGCCTGCTAAAAAAAATGTGGGAAAAAAAAAATCAATGTAAGTAATTTGGATTTAGGAAGAGACCTGAATGCAGGTCAGGAAAACAGAAAGAGAATGGGAAGTGACCCTTTTGGGTTACAAGGCAAAAGTGAGACTTCAAAAAGTTCAAATATGCATCTGAACTTTGGAAGCCTTACAATTAAGGAGTCAGACTTGGAAATCCTTTGATGTTTACCCAGCAGAATTTCCAGCTGGGTGGAGAAAGACCCAGAGATTCAGCATACGAGCAGCTCCCTTTCCTGAACCCTCACAAGAGCCTGACTCACACAGCGCAGAACAAAACCTTCTCTTGTTGGCCGTGTCGTTGCCAGGCAACAGTTCCATTGAGAAGCACAAGCTCAAGGATGCTGATTAACCCATTAGCTTCTCAATTAAAGCACTAATTCGGACACTGGCAGGTTTAAGAACCCCGCAGGGTGCTTCCCTGTGCCAGTGTGACATCCCAGGCATTGCCCAGTGCCAGCAAGCTCTGCCATGAGGCTGGTGGACAAGGTTTTGCCTGAGAGCACTCCACCACAGCAGAGGCTGGTGTGCCTTTCAAAACTGGGAAACAAAAGAAGAAGGAAGGAATAATAACTGTGATGAAGGAATGTGAATTATTCATAAGAAATTAATGCAAGCCACCAGGGGCAAGCATGGAGAGATTTTTGTTGTGCTCATAGGATGGGTAGCTGCTCAGCTGCACTTTCATGGAATCTCATCTGTACTGTTCACAAGATGACAATTTTACATCATAAGAGGTCCCCTGATGGCATGTATTAATTTATAATCAAGCAAAAGGAAGGGAGTTTTGGTGTGTCACGCTAGTAAAACACACAAACTACTCCCTCAAGGCACATATACGCATACATTAAAACTTTAGCAATGGCACTGGAATTAATAAGAGCTATGACATATACCTCAACTATTCACACACACTTCATGGCAACCCAAAGCCAATGCCTGGTACTCACACTGTTCAGAAGTGGGGCCATGCAGCTTAGTGGAAAATAGAGGAAAAACAAATATTTGGAGGCCTGGCACATGCTTTAAAAAAAAAAAAAAAAAAAAAAAACAACCATATCAAACCATAATTTAAAAAAAAAAAATTATGAACAGTAAGGCCACATAAACAGAGTATTCTTTCAGAAGGCAAACACTCTGTGTAACAAGGGCTGTGTATCTTTTAAACGTATTTATCAACGTATTCATTCCATTAGTCAACATGTATTAAGTTATGTAAGCATAGCACACTGTAAATATATACTATTTAGATGATGCAAGAGTATGGCTGAAAACTAGTTCTATTAATTCTTTTCCAAGAGTCTACTATTACATTCTTCTCTTCCTTCACATTACATTTATTTTTTATTATGTTTAACCTAATGCAAATTAGTATCTGTTTGGGTTTGAGAGAGTTTGGGTTTCTTCCCTGTTCCTCCTCCTCCTGCTGTACAGAATATTAAGAGAAAACAAATATTTTCAAAATGGAAGATAATAGAGAAATTAAAATTACACTCTGACACAGATAATCTCAGGAAAAAAGAAAAAAAAAATCCAGTATCTATAGTCTATCAATTGCTAAGTGTTGTTGGATAGTGTTGTGTTTCAGAAAGCACCCCAGGGAATTACTGCATTGTACTATAACAAGGAAAAATGAAAAAAAACTTTTTCATTAAAATCAAGAAAAACTAAACCACAAAAAACCTAAACAAATTAAATCTAACAAACTAAACACATTAAATCCCTTAGAACATTTACATTTATTTTTACCACCTGTGTTACAATTGGCAAATCCCATTTATTGCTGCCCTAACAAAATTTTAGGAAAAAAGAGAGGAATATTGCTGGTTCCAAAGTAAAATAAGGTATTTGCTGTCATGCCACTTTGCGGCACTGGAATACAGTTTTAGCTTAGGAAAGGGGGTTGATCTTTTTAGAAGTATTTTTAGACATTTTTCTTTCCGCATTTCATTTCAATCCTAACTGGCTTTTTTCCTTCCTAAAATTTTGTCACCCATTCTTTTCAGCTTAAAGCAGTGGCTGGTTGTTGTGAATATAGTCAGGCCATGACACACAGCAGAAGATCCTCACAGACATATAAATTGAAATTTTATGAGATGCCACCCTTTCAGTCCCACTGGGATCTAAAGACACTTTGTTTTCTATTGACATACGGAAAAATGAGTACATTTTCCTGAGAAGAAAGTACTTTATCTCTTTTTTTTTTCCATGATATCATTATACAATGGCAAATAGCAAGTGATACACTTATTAAATTCTTGTTTGGCACAGAGCAACCAAAAGAGAATGAAACATTTTCATGTCTTCCACTGGGGAATACATTTCTATCTGTTCCCTACCAATGTTAGAGCTTGAAATAGCTGGAAGAAAATAGATCCATTTTCTTCTATGAAGTTTTATTCAAGTTTTGTTACCTCCATAGTCCACAGAGGCCAGTTCCATCATCTTAAGTACAACCCTCAGACACCTGCAAGAATTAATTCTGTCTATTTACTGCATTTTATCTACATGATATACTTTTACATTTATTTGAGATTGAGTGCCAAAACTATGCAAGAATTACATGTTTTGTAAATAACTTTAGCTTATGATTTTTTATAGCATCAGAGTGTAATAAAAAGCTAATTCATGGATATATAAAAGGACCATACCATAACTTTGTGATAACATTTTACATATAGAAAAATCAGAAAAGTCCTTGCAGTTCAAGACTTCCACACTCCTGGCATAGAAATCTTACCCTCACTACTTAATGCTTATATCTTTATTGCCTGAATGGCAGACATTCCCACTATTGTTGAAGAAAGTTGCTGGAGAATATTTCTTTACTTAGAAAAGTTTAGAATTCACTGTCAGATCCAAGATGTATTTCTCCTTATTTAAAAATGAGAAAATAACTAAAATCAAATACTGATTTAAAAAATTTAATAATAATAATTATTTAATAATAAGCATATTCAAAGGAACACTTGACAAATATCTTACTATCTCTCCACAATTTATATCGACAATCAAAAAGGAGAAAAAGGACTGCTTCTTACTTCTGACATAAGTCAATATAAGTCCAAAATAAATTGAGGGTGTGGGATTTGAGATTATAAGGGGTCCTATATATGTGTAATCTCTCCCTCACAAGAAGAAAGTCAATTGCAAAGTGATTCTTAAAATGGATATAATGGGAGATATTAATGTAGGGACTGCAGAAGAAAAGAAAGTGCATTTCTGAACTATGTCCCAGTGCTTTGTCCTATCAGCAATGGCCCTAAAATGAATATCAGCTCCAATACAAACTATTAGTTCATTGTTTTAAGCTTAAAATAAGTACAAAATCTAAAAAAAAAAAAAAAAAAAAAACAAACCAAAATCCACAACCCCTTGCACTGTTGAATTGCCCTTCTCTCCTGTCTCCTTTTCACTGATGATTTTCCTTAACAACCATTTACTCATCCAGAATATCACTACTTTCTCATCTGCTTTGCCTTTCAGACTTTCCATTTTTTCAAAACAAAACATATCTATGTGTCACTCAAATTACAAATATTTCTAATGAGGGCATGCTTGACACACAAAGTTGTCTTCCTGTACAATGCAAAGGTTTTAAAAATGACAGCTCTTCATGTGCAAAGCAGATGGAACTCCTCAAATCTAGTAGAAGTGGACTCCAAACCTGTAGGCAGACTGGAGAGGACTTCTGTTCAATTTTAAAATGAGAAAGAGTTGTCAGGATAGGAGAACACTATTAAATGTTTACACTTGAAGTAAAAAACTGCATAGCTTTACATCAGTAACAAAATGACTTTTAACTGTTTGTGAAACATTCCTGTCTGCATGAAAAATACGCTTCTGACACTGAATTACATCAGACCCTTCAACACTTAATTTTTAATTGTTATTGCATACAACATTACAGAAGTTGGAATAACGATTAAGAGCAAGGACACAAAATAATACTATAAAATCTTGTTCAATTAGCTGACTGGCTTGTGGTTTGGTATCTCACATTGACCAAAACTACACCTATTCAACTGTAAAAAAAAAATGTCCTAGGAAACCTGTGATTAAAAGTCAAACTGGTAAACATTAGTGGCCTAATTTTTCATATATGGTGATAATTATATATTTCAGTATTTCTTTGAAATGAAACTTTGACTACCGGTATTGGCATCACACATTATTATGATGGGTGGGATTTTCTTTTCTCTTCTTTGGAAAAGCTGTGAAAACAGAGATCAGTCACAGCTAACAAACATCCTGGAACAGTACTGTGATTCTGCATTGAACTTGCCCAAGCCTAGCAATTTTGCAGTTTTTTTCTTTTACTCTCATCCATATCACTGACTCGTTTTTTTAGTTAGTGACACCAAAGTCAGACAGCAATGCCCTAAATTATCTCTAAAATACCAAACAAACAAACAAAAAAATCATCATGGGCAAATAATTCAAAGCACTTCTAGTAATCTATAAAAATAAGACTTCATATTTGTCAGAGAAATATAGCTCTTGGTATTAGGTTTTTCTTTTTGTAAAGTTTCTAAGTTTTCGTGTATTTAGAAAAAAAAACAAACAACAAAAACAAAACATTTAATGCTAGATTGCAACTTTCACTACTAAATCACAGAACGACAATATCATAGAAACATTTAGGTTGGAAAAGACCTCCAAAATTATTACGTCCAACCCTTGACCCATACCCATCACCACTGTGAGAACTAAACCATAGTACTGAGTGTCACATCCAGTCACTTGGACGCCTCAAGGGATGGTGACTCCACCACCTCCCTGGGTAGCCCATTCCAAGGTTTGACAACCCTTTCCATGAAGAAATTCTTCCTGATGTCCAACCCGAACCTCCTCTGGTGCACCTTGAGGCCATATCCTCTTGTCTTTGTTCTTTGCCTTGGAGATGCCAACTCCCACCCAGCTACAACCTCATTTCAGGCAGTGGTAGAGAGTGATAAGGTTCCCTACTGAGCTTCCTTTTCTCCAGGTTAAACACCCTGGAGGTCTAACCACTCCTTATAGGACTTGCATTCCAGACCTTTCACCAGCTCTGTTGACCTTCTCTGGACATGCTCCGGCCTGTCAGTGAGCCCTATTGTAGTGAGGGACCCAGAATTGGACGCAGCATTTGAGGTAGGGCCTCAGTGCCCAGTACAGGGGACAGCTTTTTTTCTGGTCCTACATGGTCACATTATTGGTGATAAAGGTTAGGGTGCCATTGGCCTTCCTAGCCACCTCAGAACACA